TTTTTTTTTTTTTTTTAAATTTTTTCAGAAATATTGTGTTGTGTATTTACATTTTACTGGTAAATATTCCTTAAAAAAATAATGTTTTAATAATAATTTTATTATTAGTAGTAGTAGTAGTAGTAGTACTATCATTACATTAAGTAATATATTTCTGTCACAGTTTATTCGAGTTAAAATGAACTTTTATTTTGACGGTATGACAATGTTTAAATAGATTTTTACCTTTTACGGGCATTTTTACCTTTATAACGCCCTTTTTAATTTTTTTTAAGTAAGTGAAAGCATCATCTTTCATGTCGAATTCTTACATTTAATCAATGAATTCAGTTCAAATACTAAGACACTATAGGGCTGCTACCAATCAAATAAAATCAGCATCAACAAAATTTGTGTTTGCTGTGCAGAGGAACAGAATCGGCTTCTAAAGTGGCGTTTAGATGCGTTCACATAGACTGATTAATGCAGGACATGAATGCAGTTCTCCTGCAAATGCATAATTAATGTTTTGATGTTTTAAAAACAAAACGTTTAATAGTGATATTTGGGGGAAAAAACGAGAGAGTTTAATTAAAAATTAAATTCGAATCGCCTGTAGGTGGCGCCAAGTCACTGCACGAGTGAGTCATTGAATCATTCATTCAACCGATTCGTTCAAACGGCTGATTGATTCAGTAACGAAACACGTTTGTGTGCTGCTCATGACTGACACACACTCTCAGGATCATCATAGTTTAGAAAATCATGTCTTTTATTTTTTGTTTTGTGTTTTTAATCAGTGCATATGATTTTGTTTGTTTTTCTTTTTAATTGATTTCAGTAGGGTCTGGTTACATTTAGTCACTTCACACATCTTGATTGGTTTTGCACATTTTATCCATTATAAATGCCTCTGTCATTTCTGTTTATTTTCAGTATTGGTTTAAATTTTCAGTGTTATTTATTTATTTAATTTTTAGTCACATAAAACAGCAAACTGTTTCAATCAGATGACTTGTTGTTTTCTAAATAGATGCAGTTCTTGGTCCAAATGTGATGATAATTAAATCAGACCATCCAGCATTGATTAAAGGATTAGTTCACTTCCAGAATAAAAATGTCTTGATCATTTACTCGCCCCCATGTCGTCCCAGATGTTCATGTCTTTCTGTCTTCAGTCGCAAAGAAATGAAGGTTTTTGAGGAAAGCATTCCAGGATTGTCTACATATAATGGACTTCAATGGGGGCCAACGGACTGAAGGTCCAAATCATAGTTTCAGTGAGATTCAAAGAGCTCTACAGGATCCCAGCCGAGGAATAAGAGTCTAATCTAGCCAAACCATCGCTCATTTTCTGAAAAAAATAAACATTTATTTACTCTTTAACCACAAATGCTGGTCTTGCACTAGCTGGAAATTTTTTTTTTTTCAACGAAATGTTTAATTTGCATTTTCGAACAATTCTTAAATTTCCTGACAGAAAACGTTCTGCATGTTTACAATAAAAAAAAAAACAACAACTTTATTTATTATTATTATACTGTTTTTATGAATGAGGACGTCCTCAAAAGGAGGTTTTGTCAAGTTTAAAAAAGTTCAACAAGTATAAATTTGTACACACACACACACACACTCTCTAGCACACACACTCACTCACACACACACTCACTCACACACACTCACTC